GAGACAAAAGCAGATGAAGATCTTGAAAAAGGAGCTACGCCACCTGCTCTCCCAGCCACTCTTTAAAGAGGACCTGAAAACCAAGTATCCGACTCAGTCTGGCAAGCTGCCCCCACAGGTGTCTGCCCCGAGGAATGGCGAGTCGGCTTTGAGCTGCCTCTCCAAGCAGAAGAAGAGGAGGCAGCAGCCGCCGCCCCGAGCGCAGGAGCAGCAGCCACAGCCAAGTACCAGCGCAGATTAACTGCCTGCCCGAGCGTGTCGGTGACTGCAGTGGTGTTTGTCCTCTGGTCGTGTGTGAGAACTCCCTCCCACCCTTCCATTCTACTTTCACGTCACCCCGTTAGGAAAGTCTCCCTCTTCCACTCCACCTCGTAGCAGGAGAGACCTCATGCAGACTTGCCTTGTTTTGGAGCAGGAATTTTATGCAACAGCTTAGTATTTCTGTATCCAGTGTTTATAGGCTTCTCGTGTTCAGCTCAAATCCTTAAATAAAATGTAATGGTCAGAGCCAGTGGATTGTACTGAATTTTTTAGCCAAAGATGGAGGTGGCAGTGCAGTTTGTTTTTTCTTTAACTTAGCAATTCCCTTGAGCTGGCACAGTGCGAGGCCCTAGATAGGGCAGGGACAGTGACACAGGCTCTGGCAGCAGGCCAGCATGGGGCAGCGTGGGTGGGGCCGCAGGCAGAGAATTGTGGATCACTGCAGAACACTGCTACCGGGCCCTTGGCATGTGCTCCCAGGCTTCCCCACAGCAGCACCCCAGCTTCACTCTCCCTCACTTCCAACTGTTGTCTTGCCTGAGCCTCCCTGGGAGGTGGGCAGGGAAGGGTTGCTGTGTGGGCTTCCCTCGCAGCACAGAGCTAGCTAGCAGTCTGCTGGTATAGTGAGTGAGGCCGTCGGGGTCTGGCCCCAGCCTCGTCTCTGGTCCCCTCTCATGACACAGTAGGCCCCTGCCCACAGTTTCATGCACCCCTTCTCTTACCTGAGGCTTTGTGCCTAACAGGCTTTCCTCTCCTCGGCCTGCATCACCTTTTACGTTCCCCATTCTGGAGCACCCGTACATGTCCTCCAGGTCCTGAGCCCCCAGGAGGGGACAGTGTTCCTTTGTGGCCCCCCTCAGTGCCATGGGCTCCTCTTTTAGCCTTCCTCAAAGCCCTGAGATGTAAGTCTTAATACCGTTTTTAGTGTTGGGGAAGCTGACTCCCAGAGGGTAAGACTTGCTCAGGGGACCAGCACATGACCTAGTGGTTATGTTGTTAGACTCCCACTTCATTGACACAGTTCGAGCCCCAGACCCAGAGGCTTGAAACTCACTAGTGCATAGGGCGCATGTGTGTGTGTACCCAAGATCCTGACAAGAGAATGGAGGAGAAGGGATTGTGATGTGGCCATCCCCCATTGGGGGGTGATTTCTCACTTTCTGTCTATCTCTCTGGCAAGTGCATATGCCCTATAGCAAAAAAAAAAAAAAAAATCTCTATTAAAAAAAAAAAACTTGCTCAGTCAGAAAGCAGCCAAGGAACAGAGCTAGGATTAGAACTCAGGGTCTCCTTTGGGTCTGGGGCAAGTTCAGGAAACTTCTTTGGCCTTAGACAACAATGTTGCCAAGGAATTTCCCTCCCCCTAACCCCCAGTGAGATGGGTGACCTAGAAGAGAGAAACCGTCCTATGAGGTCAGGTCCTGACTGACAGCTGTCAGAGGACAAGAGGGGACCCTCCATTTTCTAAATGCTGCAGTGGAGGTCAGTGGTGTTAATAAACAGGCTCAAGGTCCCTTAGTACCATGAGTGGCTCAGACCCCTTGTCACAAGCCAGAAGTGGATCCCCTGGTGACTCAGTGTCCTGCCTATGCCCTCTAACAGCAGGTTCTTTTCAGGGGGTGAAGGGGAGTAGGTGGTTCCGCATTCTCACCTGGTGAGGTGTGTGGGCTCCCCATGGGTCTCTCCAGCCAATCCACTCACATACACAACCCCCTAGGGAGGATAGTGTTGCTCTTTGGTGCACACCAGATACCCAGTATTAAGCCAGGACAGGCTGGCAGGTGGCATGGTGGTTGGGGTGCTGGACTCCCACATGGCCAACTGGTTCGAGTCCTGGGCCTGGCAACTTGTTTTCTCTTTGGTCAATTTGAATATTTCTTTTAAAAAGAAGAAGCCAGGACAACACTTGTTAGAGAAACCATTTTAATGCTAATGTTTTCACCTACTGCCCAGGGGAGTGGTAGGGTTTAGTCCACAATCCACAGGGCTTGGGGCGCCTGGCAGCCACTCAGTAAGTCAGTGCTGCCTTCTGCCCAGGATGGCAGTGTGTGTGGCTCTGAGACTCGTTCCATTCCCTGAAGCTCCCGTTGGGAAAGCCAGAGCCACTGCTGCGGTGGCATGTCTCCCCATCTGGCAGTGCCCTCTGCTCCACTGGGGAAGCTGGGCTAGGGACCATCCGCGGTGAAGCACTTACAGCGTCAGGTATGGCGGTTGTGCTCACCCGGAATCTCGTTCCATTTTAATGTGTTGGTGTTGTCTCCGTTTCACAAATGTGGGAATTGGGGATGAGAAGTGAAGTGACTTGGCTCAGGCCGAACAGCTGATGAGTGGCAAAACAGGTTTGAACTTGGGTCGTTCAGCCTTTTGTGCTTACAGTAGGTGAGCCAGCTGTGGCAAAGGCTGCTGCATCCCACATGGCTTATGACACAGTTCGAGTCCTAGACCGTGGGTGAACGTACATGCGTGCCCAAAATCCCAAAAGGAGAAGTGGAGAAGGGATTGCAGCATGACATCCCCCATGGGGGTGCTTTCTCGCTTCTTTCTCCCCTTCTCCAGCAGGCACGTGCACCTTCTAGCAAGATTTTTTTAAAAGGCACCCAGTCAAAAGCAAGGACAGTGTTCTTTCTGTTGCTTAATGTTCCCATTGGTTTCTAAGATTCCCTTTGGAAGGGAATAAACGTGTGGTTGTAAGGACAAGCTCTCAAAGCAACTTTCCTTCCAGCTTTCAGTCTGGAAAGAGGTAGCTCTGTAGGGCGAGGGGGAAAGCACCCAGGAAGTGGTTGCCAGCAAGTGCTGTCACTAGCAAGGTGCCACCCGCAGACAACTGCTGTGACAGCTCCTGCATCCTGCTGCCCCTTTCCCTCCGTAGGGACCGCTGAGGGCACGTGCAGAGGGAGCGAGCAGCGTTTCTGACCAGTGTTTTGGGGAAAGCAGGGAGTGAGAACATGACTAACCAGCTCCGCCACTGGCAGAGCTGGGCATCCTGCTCTAAACGGACCCTCTCTCCTGAGAGGGTCCCGCGGAAGCTGGCATGTTCTGTGCCCTGGAAGCATGGCCTAGGCAAGATGCACATGGTATTTCTCCAGCTGGTCTGCCCAGGAAGTGCTGCTCTGGAGACCACTGGAGCCACAGCCAGAGCAGGGGCACCCATGCTGGCTGGAAGGCCCAGGGCCCACTTTCCAACCCCACTGCCGGGGCATCAGTCGGGCACTGTGCAAGCTCACACCCTTCAGCTTGGACACAGGGCCTCCCTGGAGACATGTCTGGCAAAGAGGAGGGTATTCACAAATCACTGAACTGTCCCTGCTCTCCCAGTGTACTGGCCGTGTAGCCCAGCACTCCCACTCGGAGCAGGGTGGACACCAGACGGGGACTAGGGCCAGGTTTACATTCCTGGGGAAAGGTGGCATAGTCACTTAGCTTGAGCCCTTGAGTCCAAATCCCAGCCAAGGGCAGTGTGAGAACCAGGATCCCTGCCTAGAATTAAAGCACCCTGACGTCTAAGAGGGCTGTTGGCCCTCCACGAAGGCAGGAGGGTAATACAGATCTGACGCTGTGCCAGGACTCGGGAGTTTGCTCCTCGGTCCTCAGGCAGTCTGGTGACCAGAGGAGTCACAGCAGCACCAGTAGAGCCTACTAAGTCCCTGCAGAATGAAACCTGCACGGAGCAGGTCTTCAGTTAAGGAAGGACCTACAGGGCAGCCCCACACCTGCGTTTTCCATTTCCTCTTGTAGCACCCCAGCCCAGCCATTGTTTGGGTCCCCACTGGTGCCATCTTGCCTGCCAGTTCAGGTGCAGTCTCCGAGGCCCTGAGGCAGCTAGCGAGGCAGTTAGGGCACACGTCCAGTGGAAGATGAGGAAGCTTCCTCATTCAGCACTTCCTCAGGCAGGTGCCACAAGGGAAATCTTCCCCCACTGTCTGTTCCCGTGGCTTGTCTCCCACCTAACCTCATGGGAGCCAGTAAAGATTGTAGATGGGGAGAGGGACAGAGGCCACAGGCAGCTGCATGAGTCAGTGTGGATGGCTCCACCTGACAGAGGACCTAGACTCTCCCTCTAGGGTTTGTTGAGGGTGTTGGAACAGCTGCAGCTTCCTGGGCCCAGACAGAAGTACACGGATTCCAGTCCAGACCGGAGTCTTTCTCAAGCCTGTGTAGGTGGAGCTGAGAGCAGAACCCTGGTGGGCCCAGGCTCGAAAGGCAGGCAGCTTCGGCCCTGAGACAGAGGGGGCCCCCGACAACCTGAGCTTCATGCTGAAGGCTAGCGGCCCCTTTCTCGTCTTTGGCATAAAAGTCTCTTTTTCTCCAATTAGGGGTGGGAAAACACCCATTGTGAATGGTTTTGGAACCACACTGAAGCCCTCACATTCGAGTCAGCCTTGACGGGCCAACATGCCAGTCCGCCAGCCACCAAAGCCCAGTTCAACTGGCTGGACTCTGTATAGTCTGGTAAGTCACTGGGTCCAAACAGCTGGCCTTGAGCTTTTCTTCCCTTACAGAGAGGCACGGCCCCTGGTAAAGAGAAACCAGAGGTCCCTGTTTCTAGGCAACAGAGCGTCAACACTGGTGAGAACTTCTTCCAGCTGAAGAAACAGGTCCCCAGAGGGCAAGCGACCCACCCAAGGTCTTTCGGGGAATGGGGTGCAGAGCCAGGGTTAGGCCCCGTGAAAAGCATCTGAGCGTCACAATAAATACTGAAAGTACCACCAAGTTACCACAGCTCAAAATGGCTAGGCCTCATTCCCAGTGGCTTCGTCCAAAAGGCTGTACCTTTTCTAGCTACAGTCTACATCGCTTAAAAAACTGAAAAGCCGGAAAGTTCCATGCAGAATGAAGTCCCGTTAGGTGACAGGTTCCACTGCATCACTTAAAATGAATCAGTGTTTATCGGCTGCATAAAGGATGTTGTAGTGGGATGTTTTATAGAGCAGGTGCACGGAGGGGACGGCGGCCTCGGGGAACACGTGGTGATTCAGAGCGGTGTCCATCTCGTCCACGTACTCCACCTGCAGGGCGATGCTCAGCGCTTGGGACAGGGCGGTGATCTGGATGTGGTCACACTCCATGGCCATGGGCTCCACTTCCTGCAGAGGCCGAAATGAACAAACGCCCGCTTAGGAGGAAGTCCTGGCAGGGACGAGCGAGTTCAATCCTGCCTGCACCGACATGGCCCGAGCTCCGTGCCAAGAGATCACCCTGACAACCACCACAGGTAGGTGGGGACGGATGTCCTCCCTTCACACAGGAAGCAGGCTAGCGAGAAACGGCATAGCTGGAAGTCAGGGGGACAGCAGGGCCTGAACCTAGACCTTTTATTCGACTGTGGAATAAAATGTATCTGAGAAGAGGTCACTACCTTGAGGGATCTGGAAAGGGCAGGGCAGGAATCTGTCAGGTTGGCAGCAAAGAATCAGAGTTAAAAGGACCCTGTCATTGGGAACCAGCAGTTAGCATAATGGCTATGGCGCTGGATTCCCACGTAGTCGACCACGGTTCGCATCCCGGACCTGGTGGTTTAAAACTCACACCAGGCGCGTGTGCATGCATGCCCAAGATCCCGAGAGGAGAATGGAGGAGAAGGGATTGCAGCGTGACCACCCCCCTTGGGGGGTGATTTCTCGCTTTCTGTCTCTATGTCTCTCTCTGTCTGGCGAGCGCACGCACCCTATAGCGAAAACCTCTCAAAAAAAAAGGACCCTGTCATCAGGGATTCCAAGCTCAAGTGTTTACAGAGCCCAGGTCAGTGGGCACATGAGAGGGTCTAGATACTGAAGAGACAATGGGGAGATCTTGGCAGAGACAGCGGCAAGCTGGGTGTACCCCACATGAAGAGGGTGGCTGCCGCGCCTGCTTATGTCGCAATGCAAGAGTAAGAGCCCAGGGCCTGGGTCTTCTGTTTTTCCAAGGGAAATAAGATGAAAACTACCCCACTGCTAAGTGTCGGTAACTGTCGGGGACGCAGCAGAGATCATGGACGAAGCTTGTCCAGGACAGCTGTGACTCTGGGCGGGGACTTGACCATCCCACCCACAGGTCAGCCCAAAGCCCTCATTCTTCAGCTGGGAATCCCCAGGGAAGGGAAGTGGCTTGCCCCAAGCCACACAGTTCAGGCTGCTCAAGTAGGACCTGTCTGCAGCTTTCGGAACTAGTGCTGTCTGAATGCCCAGTATAGACTTGACACCCACGTCCCCTGGCTAGGCATGGTGGTGCTGAAGGCTGCAGGAGAGACACGAGAGTAGAGCCCAGGGCTGGGGGGCCCGAGACCCGGAGACCTACATGAGTGCAGAAGTCCTTGATGTCCATCTCCTCATCGATGAAGTGTCGGAAGAAGTCTGCTCGGTTCCTGATGAAGGCTGACGTGAGCAGGCGCAAGAACTGCACGATCCGGTCCGAGGAGCTCTGGTCGTTGAACACCTTCAGCAGACTGGACTCCGAGCCATCCTTCTCCACCAGCTCGACCACGCTGTAAAACTGCACCCACCGGCAGTCAGCCCTGTGGCCAGGCAAGCCCTGCCCCTCCCTCCCGGGCCTCCCTCAGGGAACATTTCTATCTTTGCATTTGTGAGTCAATCTCAGCTTCAAAGCTAAGTAATCGGACTTAGAAATACAGCCTGTCCCTGCAGCCTCAGGTTTAGCATCTGTAGAGTCAGCCAACCCCAGATCAAAAATATTTTTAAATAAATAAATAAAAATAATACATATATATTGGAACCAGCAGATGGTGTAATGACTACGTCACTGGACTCCCATGTAGTCAGTCGACCATAGTTTGAGTCCCGGGCGCGTGTGCGTGCGTGCCCAAGATCCCAAGAGGAGAATGAAGGGATTGCAGCCTGGCCATCCTCCCTGGGGGTGATTTCTCACTTTCTGTCTCTCTGTCTCTCTGGCGAACGCACACACCCTATAGAAAAACAAAAAAAAAAAAAAAAAAAAAAGAATACAGATACAGTTTAGCAACTATTTACATAACATCACATTAGGTATTCTAAGTTATCTAGAGATGATTTAAAGCATTTGGGAGGCCGTGCACAGGTCATATGCAAATACTGGGTATTTCTACATAACGGATTTGAGCATCCGCAGAGTCCTGGAACCAATCCCCTGTGAAAAAACAGCCGACTGTACTTTAGTTCCTATCTTCACCCAGAGGCATGCCTAGGACAGCTGAGGCTCCCGCCATTGCTCTCTGGGCTGGGATTGTTATGTACACATTTGGATCTGCAGGGGTGGAGAGTCCTTCAAACCCCACACCCTCCATTAACCAGATGGGGAGGCCAGGGGTGGACAGATGGCTAAAGGAGGTGCCTTCTTCCAGAGGGGGGGCAGGCCCCTGGGCTGCCGGTGCCCACACAGCCCCATCAGCAAGTGCTTCTCCAGCCAGGAGGAGCAGAAAGGGCACAGCCCCAGAGCTGTGGGCTGTGCAGGGGCGTCCAGCCAGTGTCCGCTCCTGTCTGATCTGCCAGCCTGGAAGGACCTGGTGCCCCAGTCACCATGGCCAGAGGAACTCACAGCATTAAAGAAGTTTCGGAACCTGTGCTCCTCAAAGCCAGCAGCCAGTAGGTCATTTGGGGTCTGCAGTACACGCTCCTTGAACCTAAAGGGGAGCAGACCAGATGCTTACAGGAACACAGTGAGCACACGGCGACTGTCACCGTCCACCCCAACCCGCTGCACCCACGACACCCCTCCCACACACGGAGAGGACTCTGTCCCTGCCGGGTGAAGGAGCTGCCTATGGCTGACCACACTGCCTGCTCTGTCCTCCCCGCTGTGAGTGATCCCAGGAAGTGGGTGCTGTGGTTTGAATGTGCCCCCAAACTGAACCGTCAGTGCAAAGGAGAGAGGAGTTGAGGGGAGGCCCTCAGTGGTCAGTAGGCTGAGAAGGCTTCATCCTCATAAACAGATCAATGCTGTTATTGGGGGAGCAGGTCCCTCATAAAAGGATGAGTGTCCCTCTCCCCCAGCCATCGCGTGCGCTCTTGACCTTTGACTTCCACCGTGGGATGACAGTAGAGAGGTCCTCACCAGATGCCGGCGCCTTGACCTAGGACTTCCTAGCCTCCAGAACCATGAGAAATCTGTGGGCTTTAAATGGCCCTGTCTGTGGTATTTTGTTACAGCAGCCCAGAACGGACCATGGCAGGAGGTGCAGCACCCATTTCACAGAGGAAGAGACTGAGACAGTCACCTCCCACTCCCAGGCGTGTGGATGCTACCTTTTGAGGGTTTCTTGACTCTGGCCCTCCCTGTCCCTGTGGTGTGTTTTCATCACCATCTCTGGCATGGACCATGCTCAGCCTCCCCCACTCCCCCGTCTTTCTCCTCACAGACCTGCCTGGCCCCCACTGCCCTCAGGACACAGCCCTTCACAGAGATGTCCAGGGGGGGCCCTGTCTGCCCCCCAGCCTCAGTTCCACTCTATCCTAAAACACACTCGCCCACTGGCACCTGCCCGACCCTCCGCCAGGGCTGCACTTCCTGGGTGAGCTAGAGCCAGCTGATACCCATCACAGGAGAGCTCATTACCAGGTACACTTTCGAGACTTGCCAGCCAGGTGTTCACGTGGCACTATTAAAACTCAAATGGTGTAAGTTTACAATGAAATAAGGTATACTAAATAACGGGCAGTAAATATTTCAAAACTCTGCCAGCGGGTGGCATAGTGGTAAAGGCTCTGGACCCCCACATGGTCGGCCGCGGTTTGAGTCCCTGACCCAGGGGCCTGAAACTCATGCCGAGCACATGTGTGTGCGTGCCCAAAATCCTGAGAGGAGAATGGAGGAGAAGGGATTGCAGCACGGCCAACCCCCGGGGGGCGATTTCCTGCTTTCTCTCTCTCTCTCTTTCTCTCTGCCTCTACAGCGAGCTCATGCACCCTATAGCAAAAATCTCTCAAGAAAACGTTCAGAACTCATCATTTCCGAGTTATTGACTATGACGATGCTTTCGAGGTTATGCGCGCCGTCGCGTGTATGACACAGATTCTATACAGGCCACAGCTGGGATTACTTTGCAGCTTTTCCTGACTTGCTCAGTGATCGCTCCAACGCCTCTGCCAGGAAGCCCTCCAACTCACTCCCTGGGTCGTCCAGCCTGAGAGGAGGACAAACCCTCCAGAGACTCAGAGCTGAGCAAGCTCAGAGAGCACAGCCTCGACAACCAGGAGCCCCCCTGAGCGTCCCTCCTGCCCACTCACTTGAGGATCTCTCTGCTCTTGCCCAGCAGAGACTCCAGGTAGGAATAGCCCAAGGCCCGGTAGAAGCAGTTCCCGTCCCCTTTGGTCTTGCGGATGGCGGTGAACCTTTTGCTGAGTTCCTGTGGGAGGAGAGCGGGGATGTGGGTGTGGCAGCAGTGCCCCTGTGTGGCACCCGGCACCAGCCAGGCCCAGCACCTCAGCTCTCCCCGATAAGGCTGCGCTCCCTTCATGCATTCCACAGACAGAAAAACTCGTCAGGTGCGTCCTGTGTGCCAGGCACTGAGGACCCGCCCCTGCCCCAGGCAGCCCATTCTCAAGAAGGCCGACAGTTAGATGATGGGGACAGAAGGACATGGGAGCACCAGGCAAGGTGCCAGAGCACTGGCCTCGCGCCAGGTTGCAGAAGTCTGGAAGGGCCTCATGGAGGACGGGCTCTGAGGGGCAAGAGCTGGCTGGGGTGTGCCGTCAGGGCGGGAGGGAGGCTGCAGAGTCCAGGGGAGGGCCTCCGCAGGCCAGCTGTGCAGTCTGGGTAGTCCTCCAGACACTTGGCAAGAGGTGGAGCCCTCCCCTGCCACCGCCTCCTCCGCTCTGCTCTGAAATGGCAGAGGGGTTTGGGGGGAACCACTATGGAGTTTTGACAGCAGAGGATGGTTTTCTAGAGGTTAGGGAGGCCCTGCTCCCACTACAGCCAGAAGAAGACTCAGAGACAACCAGGCCCAGCTGAGGTAGGTGCCCGGGGAGTGCTCCTTGGGGAGCCTATTCTCAGTTCCCACGGGGACTCCAGGTGACACAGAATCACTCTGCCACCCAGACCTCGCTCCTGCCCCAGGAGGCCCATGGCCATGTTTTCATCACATGGTGACCCTGACCCTCTCTGGACCCATCAGTTTCTCTGGATAAGTGACTGGGGCCCATGGCCACTGTGCTGTGTCTACGGGAATGTGAAGGGCCAGGGCAGCCTTTTCTGCTGGTGCCAGGGCAAGCCTGCTCTGCAGAAAGGTGCACGGGGGGCAGCGGCGTGGGGCTGCGAGGTGGGGAGGGCGGCCACTCCTCCTCCGCCCACGCTGTGAGTCACCCCGCGACCTTCCAGCAAGTCTCCCTTTTCCCCTGGCCCAGGTGGAGTAGGCCTCCCCTCCTGCAAGGGCCCCCAGTACAGAGGCAAGAAGGCAGCCTGTGAGACGGGGCTGCCGGGCTCAGCCACCCACGCTGTTCTGACCACCGCTGCGTGCTAGGCCTCAGAAAACGTACGTGCTTAGCTGAGTTGTAACGAAGTGAGGAAATAAAGCATTTAGGACAGTGCCTCAATTATTTTCAACTTTTAAAAAAAAAATTATTTCTTTATTATTATTGTTGTTATTTTAATTTGCTATAGGGCACATGTACTTATGGGGGGGGGAGTGAAAATAATGAGAATGCAAGCTGCTGGGCCTGGGACTCAAACTATGGTCGACCACGTTGGGGTCCAGTGCCCCAACCACCATGCCACCCACTGGCCACAAGTGTCAATTAAAAAAAAAAATTATCTTTTTTTTTTTTTTGGTGACTAGATGATTTCTCATTAAGGCAAATACCCAGCAGCAAAATATTCTGGGAGTTCTTTCATTTGCCCAGGAACCTGGTCCAAGCTATCAATGTTTTCTGCCTTCAAAGTGGTACCCCCTTCTCTGCTCCCAGCCCCGGCCCCCTCAGTTTAGGATCCTTTTCTCCAGTCCCTCTGCTCACCTGGATTTTCCTCTGGTAAATCCTGTTTTCAGGATGGTCTCGAAGAATTGATAGGATGTCACATTTTTCTGATATTAGGTTGAAAGATGTTTCACTCTGCAAAACAGGGAAAGCGGCAGAGCTATGTGACAAGTTTCTTTTTTTTTTTTTTTTTTAGTTTGCTATAAGGGTGTATGCGCTCACAGAGAGAGAGAGTGAGAAAGGGAAAGTGAGAAGTCACCCCCTGGGGGGCATGGCCACACCACGCGATCCCTTCTCCTTCATCCTCCCTGGGGGACTTTGGCCACTTTCGCACATGTGCCTGGCAAGCTTTTCAAGCTGCCAAGTCCGGGACTCAAACCGCGCAGTTGGCCATGTGGGATCCAGCCACCCTAACCTCCACACCACCTGCTGGCCCTGTGCCGTGAGGATTTCAAAGTAAAGACAGGATTCACCGGTGACGACCTCTGAAGAGTAAGGGATGCCTTCCCACCGCAGGTCCGGGTGGGCGTGGACCAGTCGCCATGTGCCTAGGACAGGGCAGCTGGGGCCTGCGCCATCTCAGGTGGGGGCTCATCTGGAGTTTTGCAAATGGTAACACCTCAAACCTAATGACCCTCCGCATCGGAGTGTAGGGCCCCTCTGTCCTTCCTGCCTGGTTCCCTTCAGTCCTTTACTCCGCCACCCTCCAGCAGTTCCCAAATAGCTACACAAAACGCTGTCACGCCAGAGATTCAGAACACCCACCCCGGCGAGGCTCACAGTCCAGAGGAAAAACAATAATGATCCAGGGCAAGAAGGCCACCAGCAGAGGCCACCTATGTGGCCCTGGCACAGGGAGACAGGCCTGGGGGTCTGGGCAAGGGTTCAGGACCTGGGTAGACAGTAAGTGCGGAGGGCGGCTTCACGCACCCCCTACTGGCGAGAGCTCGCACTGCAGCCCCGTGCAGGCCTAGGTCCACTCCAACTCCGGAAGACGGGGGTGTCAGGGTCTCCAAGCCTGGGACAAATCAGCCGGCAGAGAGGGGCCATGGCAGCGAGAAGCTGCCGCGACACTGCGGGAGACGTCTCTGTGCTCGCAGCCAGCTCCCCGCTCCCCACGGGCCTCGTGCTGTCCTGTGCAGTCTGGTCAGCGGATGCGTCTCCGCCTCCAGCCTCCAGCAGACCGCCCTGATTTCAGCATGACGGTACTGGAGGATCAACTGGTGTTAGAGCCACTCCCGGTCTGCACTTTAGGGGAAGCGCCCGGCTCGCGCATACGCCGCGGGGAGAGCGTTTGTATGAACGATCAGTGCCTGGCTCAAAGGCCGACCTGGCTTGGCACTTTTGTCAATGGAAATTAGTTTTCCACCCTTTCGCTGGCATCGCTTTAACACGAACCTGCCGCTAGAGGTCGCCACTCTCACTTTGTGCTGCTGACCACTGCAGCCTCTCCCCCCCTGGGGCACCGCCTGCCG